AATTGAAGTTAATAACTTATTGTGGTCTATTTAACTTAACTTCCAGTGGCAAATATTCCATGCATTTTAAGCAGGATAGAAAAGTCAATTGTTTGACAATTTTCGATTTAACTTACAAAGTAATGTCTGAATTAATTTAGTAGCGATAATGTATATGACAACATCCTTCAAAAAAAGAAAGGGGAGCTCCTTTTTTAATACACTTTTTTAAGGAGTAAATAAATAAATGCTTTAATAAGACTGACGAGACATATTTATTTATTTTGTTATGCTTTTGTAAAACTAAGCTGTTTGTCAAAGAAGGACCTTCATTATCCGCTCCGTTGTCACTGCATTATTACAAAGTTCTAGTTTTAGTACAGTGTTTTTTTAAATAATTTATTTTAAACGAATTAGATGTCTGGAATTACTAAAAAATCTGAATTTTTTATTACTGTGGTCTCGGATTCATTTAATGAAAATGTATGGATGTTTTGTAAAGAGATTGAATATTTTACCACTACAGATACAGCTGTACCAAGTTACAAATGACTTTCATAGCAGATAATAGTTGACTTTTGTTTATTAGGTAAAACAATATCTCCATCGATCAGTTTTGAATTTTAATCCATTTTGTAATCAATAAGTTCGTAAAATTATCAATAATGTATGAATGTGTGTGTAATTAAATTCAATGAAGTTTCTCATTGTTGAAGGCCGGACTTTTACCTATATTGCTTATATCCACATCATTTGAACTTTTGTGGATTGTTGCCTCATTGGCAATCATACCACATCTCCTTAGGTTATAACGGCTTGATTTATTCTAAAAGCATTAAACAACAAAAATTATATAACAGACATCAACCAACGACAACCAATGAATTACAGGCCCATAACATGAGAATGAGCCGGCGTTCATCATGTTTCTAAGCTGCCAATCCTTCCCTAACACACGAGAGTAGTGTAACAGCACATCATAAAAACAAACTGGGTCAAAATTTGTTCAGACAGAAGCTGCTGTACGAGTATCATAAAAGCTGTTTAACCACTCGATTTGTTTAGATCAATGAGATTTTACCATAGTATGACTGTTGAAAATGTTGCCTGAAGTCGTATCTAGTTTTAACAGAACTGAAAATAACTAATTGGGTACTAAACTAAAAAAATCGAAGGTATAATATTACTTTAAGTAGAAACGGAGGAACTCTTAAGGTGTAAATCGATCAAACAAAATAATTCCGCTATCATATCACTGACTTTGTCACAACATTTTAGTGACAAGCAGTGCTGTTATATTAGGTTTTTCGGACGTGATTTGAGGGTGTTGATGGTGATCCTTCATTTCTGTATTCTTTAATTTTTGACAAATTTTTTCTTTATCTTTATAAATAACGCTGATTCAGTAAAAATCTCATGAAAATCATTTTACTATTAGATGTATTTGTTATTACATGATTTATTTATTTTGTACATGTTTTATTTTTGTAATCAGTATTTTATTACCAATTTCTTTAATCTTCACGTTCATTCTTTCTTCTTTTCACCCCAATTATTATCTTTTCTTTATTTTTTGACTCATTTTTCTTTTTTCAATTGTTTAGCCCTATTTAACATTCTTTATACCCCATATAGACCCGCTTAAGTTCGGTCTGTGCCTCTTTTTCACAATTCTATCAGTTGTTTACACTAGATTCCCTGACATTTTTATTGACAATATTGATTGGAGTGATTCACTACCGCTTTCGTCGTAATTTTTGTTTATTTTATTAGCAGCGATTTTTCCAATACAAACACCAAATAATTACATAAAAGCACAATCCTTAGAGTCACGCTATATGAAGTATAGATCAATCATCGCTGTCACATACAGGAAAGCATGAGTTCCGCATTATAAAATATGTTGCAATAAAATGTTACAAACGAAGGAAGGCGTGAGTTACGCATAATAAAGTATATTACAATATTTCTTAAACAGAAACAGGGAAACCATATAAAGTGTGGTGCAATAAATATATTGCACACACAGGCAAGCGTGAGTTTTGCATCATAAAAGTATATTGCAATAAAATATTTTATTCACAGGCAAGCGTGACTTTTGCATAATAAAAGTATATCATGTATATTGCATTAAAAAATTATACAAACGGGAAAATGTGAATCACTATAAATCAAGTATAAAATATTCTACACACACACAGGAAAGCGAGAGTATGGTTATATTTGGTAAATTGCAAAACAAAATAACACACAGAAGAGGAAATCATGCGAACTTGAGTAATTAGCAACATCAAAAAAGGGACAAAAACAAGAAAGGAATCACGCTATATGAGTATTTTGCTGTGGAACTTTTTACATCAAGTACAGGGTGAGTCACACTCTATACGTTATATTAAGGATATCTTAACTAAATCTATTGATTGATTTTTGGTTACTTAACGTCCAGTGGCAAATATTTCAGGCATTTTCAGGACGAGAACAAATTAACAATAAATACAATAGGTGGGTCCTGTAATAGAGGCCGTCCAAGATGAAGGTTTGAGAAATGTAGTCTGCTACTGGAAAATTAGGGTGTATTGGATAGTGACAGATATTTTGCCTTGTAACAGGCCACCTACGGACCACTCAATGCGTTGTTACAAAGGTTTTTAACGTGCAGACAGCGTATCACTCTCTCTACACGAGGTATCGGATATATTGTCCCAATTCTGATCGGATGTGATTGCGTACTTGTACATCCCGCACAGCCGAAGGGATGCCCATCTTTTGTTTTACTGCCTGTCAGAAGAAGACCTGTAGTGAACATATTTCTATTCCCCAGTCACCCTTGGGGTGTTTACAAGATCTATCTACTCGTGATGCTTATTGGTCAAGTAAAGACAAAGGTAGATGAATTTGTTAATTTTAAGTCCCCTTTTGTTCATAAAGTTCATCACGTGTTCACTTATTTTAGACATCATTTTGTGTTTGAACGTTCCTGATAAATCAAGGTAAATCATTGAAGCGCTTCGGAGAAACTAAGGGGGAAATGCGTCATAAGGCTACTAATTAAGCCACTCTAATTCGAAAATTAAAAAGTATTATAAATCTACAAAAAACATTCTTCGGATATTCATAGAACATTTAATAGTCTGTAGGACATATTATATACAAACAAGTCAAAATTGAAAATAAAGTTCAAACCTATGATTGCGTTGGATAAAAACCGCAATTTTTCTACGTGTGCATGCAAAACAAATTTCTTGGTAGAGGGGTCTCAATACAGCACAAACAACATTTTCCAAAAGACCTAAAAAAGTGAAAAAGTATATTTTAACAAAACGCATTTGACTAGCAGGTCGAACAACAGATGTTCTTATACCATGCTGACTGCCATTGGCGATTGCCAAATAAACGGATCACCAGATGTAACAAAATGGATCTTAACTATTAATTTAATACCAAACAGAAAACAATAAACTTCAGTATTTATATATTTGAATTTTGTCTAATAAAAGAATCAAAATAACACGTTATAAACTTCATCCGTCCAAAGTACTTTTCTGGATTTACCTACGTCAGGATCGCTCAAAGCGTAATATTTGAAAGCCGAGGATGTTTAAAAACCGAAACAGTTGAAGAGCTTGTTTATAAATTGGTAATAAGGGCTTCAACCTTCTCTTACATTTAGTTCAAAACAGCAAAAACTGTAAAAATAGACTAATTTTTTATATTAATAGTTCATGTAGTTGTATATCAGAAAAAGCTGTGATATAAACATGTATTTTACAAAGATGTAAATTAGTTTCAATTATCTTTTAGGGTAAAGCTCTTGCTAATATATATTTTACCATACAATTTGCGTAAAACAAAACAAAACCGGCGGTTATATCACTGGTCAAATTGAGCCTTTTCCATTTGAAAAAAAAAAACAGGAAGGTTTTACCAGGGGAAAGGGGAGATGTTCAAAAACCGAAAGTCGTACAACAAAAGAAAACGTTGAAGCCAAAAGAACAAAAAAAAACATCTACAAACACGGCACAAAAAGTAGAAAGATTGACAGATACAAACAAAGAAAAAACCTGACTGTGAGCTAATATTTTCCAGGAGTTGCAGCTATTGGGATATTGTAAAACATTTAAATCTAAATGAGGGAGTCAGAGAATAGACGAAAACTGGCTGTGAGCTTATATTTTCTGGGAGATTCAGATATAAGAATATTCTAAAACATTTGAGTGAATAAGAAAATAAATCTGGGATGAATTCCAAAAATAATTTCCTATGAGAGATCAACATGATTGTACAGTGTATAGTATGAAACATATAAAAGATGTGCATACTACGAACAACTACATTGTACTGTGAAAATTGTATGTATTTCGTGTCCCTCATAGACTATTTTCACGTTTTGACTTTTGATTGCGGAGTATATATATATATATTTTTTTTTTACAGGTTACCTATTCTGGTGTTGGACATTCTGGTACTCGGTAATGTAAGAGCAGCTAAAAGAAGTAAAGTCAAGCTTACAATCAGTGCAATTTGGAGCAAAACAATTACTATTATACACTGTATTACTGATTTCCGATGATTATGTCGTTTACAGAAAGCATAAAACATTTTTCCCGATTGTATGCCTGTTTACCTCTTTATTTATTTATTTATTTATCTTTAAATTTACATATAATTGGTTTATTATATACTTGTTTTGAAATTTAAAATGGAAACAATTAATGCTTTGAAAATGATATCAATTCCCTTGGAACAATATTATGGTAACTTTACTCAGAAATTTTCCTGATATACTAGTATTCAGGAAGCAATTATTTAAATCTATTAAAGTCTAGTGCTGGTGTAAATTCATAATGAACTTGTTTACATTTATTTAAGAATAAGTTAAATTAATGAATGAATTAACTGAAACAATAAATTGTTCTCATATTTTTAGTACTATTTTAGGTCCTATCGTATTTAGCGATTATAAGAAAGTGTTGCATTGCACTTTTTACTGTATAAAATAATAATTGTACATAAAGCCTTACCTTAAAATTTGATGTTCAAATCATAATGACTGCATTCCCAACCAATTTTTATTCATAAAAACAACATGAACAATATAATCACGGACAACTTCTATTCTGGAAGACTTTATTAAACAGATCCAAGTAGTTCGATTTTTCTGTAAAAAATAAAACTAATAATTATCTATAGGAAGCGAGTCCCAGATATAAATATAAATTCTGCATGAAGGCTTCCAAACAATTGATGGCGTATTGATTTTAATCAATTTCTGTCCCGTTTTAGCTAAATGTGTATTGGAGATCAATAAATAACTGCAGTCATTAGCTCTTCATTCGTAATACGTTCCGGAATTGGACGTTTCCTTTCTAATCTGATTTAGTATACTATTTCTATAAAACCACGGATAAAGCCACATCGTAGAGACTGCAAATATGCATAGAAATGTTCCTACATTTATTAGTTTTTAGACACGTTCTAGCTGTCAGGATGAAAGTAAGAATTATATACTTTTGTGGGGGATTTGATTGTTCGATAGCTGTTTAACGTTAGTCAGTGTTTATTACATATTTATTCGGGATGCCGACGTTTTAATTTCCTACGAAATTATCCTGCTTTATTTGTACAGTGATAAAGCAAGTGCTTCCAACCCAAACTTCCCATTAATGGATAGAGCAAATTACCGCGTGATGACAACATTTTGATTACCTAAAAAAGTATCTGACTTTGTACTGGGATAAAGCCAGTGCTCCTAACCCAAACTTCTCATTATAAATAGAGCAAATTACCACATCACGGCAACCTTTTAATTACCAGAAAAAGTGTCTTACTTTGTACTGGGATAAAGCAAGGGCTCCTAACCCAAACTTCCCATTAAGTATAGAGCAAATTACCACGTGATGACAACATTTTAATTACCTTAGAAAGTATCTTACTTTGTACTGGGATAAAGCAAGTGCTCAAAACCCAAACTTCCCATTTATGGATAGAGCAAATTACCACGTGATCATAACATTTTAATTACCTTAGAAAGTATCGTACTTTGTACTGGGACAAAGCAAGTGCTCAAAACCCAAACTTCCCATTAATGGATAGAGCAAATTACCACGGGATAACATCGTTTTAACTACCTATGAAAGTATCTTACTTTGTACTAGGATAAAGCAAGTACGTACTCCCAACCCAAACTTCCCATAAAGGAACGAGCAATTTACCATGGGGTCAACGAGGAGATTATTTTGGAAAATATGATTAAACTACGATCCCATCGATGCGGTTATAAGAATATGACATTGCGCAACAAGCCCACCGATGCCGTTATTTGTAAATTAACTCGTCATAGATCCGATACCCCAGACGCGCGTTTCGTCTATAACGGACTCATCAGTGTTAAAAAAGTTAAAAAGGCCAAATAAGTACGAAGTTGATGAGAGTTGAGGAGTGAACATTCCGAAATAATTTGACAAATACAGCTACGGTAATCTTTTACTAAGTAAATGCGATTACACCACGTGCTCATCGAGGCGGTTATAAATGGGAATAAAATTTCGACATTTCGAGTCATCGGGGTGGTTATGTGGGAATATGATTTTCTGATGAGCCAAGAGAGGTGGCTATACTGGAATGAAATTTTACAATGACATCAACGGGATAACACTTTGCGCCCGTGCCCAAGGATGTGTAAGTGGGAATTTTAACATTACGACCTCACCGATGAGGTAGCCGAATGAGGCGGTTATGATCAAATCAAATCAAATCAAATATTTTATTATTCCAATCATGGTCCCACAGGGGGCATTTACAATTAACAATTATAATTAGATATGAAAATATAAGCAACAAACATGAGACATTGTACAGCATATATTTATGGATGATATTACATCACGTAAATATAAAAATGAGAAGATGTGGTATGATTGCCAATGAGACAACTCTCCAACAGAAACCAATTGACATAGAAGTTAGCAAGTATATGTCACCATACGGCCTCCGCCAATGAGCAAAACCAATACCGCATAGTAAGCATGATATTTCATCGAGTGTTCTCTGAAGCGACTATTTAGACATGAAAAAATCAACGCGCCCACAGAGGCTGTAAAGTAAGAATTTCACCACGAGCTTATTGACGCCGTCATGGTAAAATGATATAGCTCCTCGAGTCGGTCATTCAGATGGTTATTTGGGAATGAGACAACATGACCCCATGGAAGAGGCAGTTAAACTTTTTCTTTTGTACAATTTCATTTGGATATTTGCTAAATTATGACAATTTTGTAATCAAAATTAGGGTAAAAGCCGTCGACGTGTCTTTGAGTCCGTCCTCCGTCCGTTCGTATACAATTGCCAAAAATATATTCCTACGACTAATGACTTGATAATTCATAACTATTATATATAATAATTTATTATCAAACTACATGTACTCTTTCAAACTGGGTACAGACGTCAGCGGGGTACTGACACCTGCGTGAACAAAAGATAATATGTACAAAACAACATAATGATTGCAGTTAACAAGTAATAAGATAGTTACAAATATTAAAAAGTCCAATTATTACAATTACACTAAAATAGCATAATTACATTGGGTTTATCGTAAAATTACATTGCAGGAACATCATAAGTTTAGCATAGTGTTATCATTAAAATAGTCCATTTCCCAATTAACGATTTGATTCTGTTATCATGGTTATTATACACTTTTAACACAAATTGCTTCCCATTGCCAATCATAGAGTCTGACTTGTTCTATGTATACCGGATAATATTTGCTTTTTTCAACGCAAACCATGATAAGTTTAAAGTGATATATCGTTGTTTTAACCGATGTTTAGAGAAAATAACTTCTGATATCAAACGTGTTTTCATTTACATTGTATCATAGATCAAATTTACTTGTTCAGTGTATGTTCACTGGTGTTAATATGTCTTTTGATTGAGTTAAGCCATTTCAATTGATATTTGATAGTGTGTCTTTCTATGTTGTGATGTTACACTATTGTTTCAGATAAGGGTGAAGGCTTGGTACCATTAAAACGTTTAAACCCTATGCAATTGTTTGCACCTGTCCTAAGTCAGGAATCTGGTGTTCAGTAGTTGTCGTTTGTTGATGTGGTTCATAAGTGTTTCTCGTTTCTCCTTTTTTATATAGATTAGACCGTTGGTTTTCCCGTTTGAATGGTTTTACACTAGTAATTTTTGGGACCCTTTATAGCTTGCTGTTCGGTGTGAGCCAAGACTCCGTGTTGAAGACCGTACTTTGACCTATAATGGTTTACTTTTATAAATTTTGACTTGGATGGAGAGTTGTCTCATTGGCACTCATACCACATCTTCTTATATCTATTACCCTTACAAAAAATTAAATGTATGGAAAGATTTACAAAACGTAAAGGTCACACACATTACGCACAGATAAATTAGCCCTTTCTTGATTGTCAATGAACATTTATGTCCCTCTTAAGTGAGACAACTATAAAAATGGATCCCTTAATACAAGGTCAATTATGGGAATTGGCAGATAGACCATTCATAAATATACTTAGTATGTAAAGACCATTTCATATAGAATGAAAACTTTGGCAAACATTCCATAATACGGTAATATAAATTTGAAACAAAGGTTTGCTTCTATCACAAGACCATCTTTAGTGTCAAATGTCTGTGGCCTATCTGACAGACCAACAGAATTACATTTTACCACCATTTCATTTCGAACTCAAAAGAATTCAACAAACAAAAAATATGACCCTAGAAGACTATTAAGCGATTATTTAAGTTTTATATAAAAAAAAAACAACATTACGAGCCTTTACCAAAACGGTCGACTGGGATATAGATTCATGGTCACCCGTTGGTCTTTTACCGGCCGACAGTTATACCTTTACCAAAATGTGGATTCCATTTGGTTTGTGCGAGATGTATAAATACGCAGCCACAATCTGTCAGAATGAGACGATGAATCCTATACCTAGTGTAAAGAATGTGAAACGCCCTCTTCGCATTAAAAAAACCTTGTGACAACTATGTGAAGGGGTGCGTATGTGGCCTGTTGCAAGGCAGAGTTTCGGACCCTATACAACATAACCTCATTCTCCAGTGACAGTCCAAATTTCTCGCCCATCGGCTCGGTCAACCGTACTTGAAGAACCTGTCTAATGTATTCTTTACTTGTGTTCGTCCTGAATATGCTTGAATGGACATGAAGCAAAAAACAATCAATAAAGCATTAAGAATCCAACGACGCGACTATATAGGAAAATTATGAACTGATTGCAAAAGTTTTTGCTTTTCAGTCGTATAATGTTTGACAGACATAGTTCATCCGATATATATATATATTTATACATGTTATAATATGAACCTCACTGACAACAAACATATAAATACCAATCCTATGAGATTGATGTCATGTAATTTAACAATAAGATCAATGTTCTGCCATTTTAGCGTTATTGTAACTATTAGAATTTTACCTAATGATACCCCTCTCGTTACATGTTTTACTGCAATTATGTTTAACATATAATTGCAGTGTAGACAAACATAATATTTATTTGACGAGCTTTAGAAACAGAGAAAAGATAGGCTCGCCGAACTGTTACGTACACAGTTATTTTAACATAACCGTTCCCTCGCAACAGATGCAGGATACCAGGAGACTATAAACGTCTAGTATACTTTTATCGGTGCATGTTATCTAACGGTTCTTAGCTGTTTTGGTAAATTATTCACATGTGTGATGAATAATAGACTTATTTGTTAATTAAATCACTTTAATGTTCTCTCGCGAAGAGCAAGCAGGCGTTAGAAAGCATTACGGTACTACTAATCACGCTTTTAAAATGTTTGAATGAACTTGAGATATAACAAATTTTGTTGACTACCAAAAGCTTTTGACTCAGTGGATAGATGTGCTTTATGGCACAAGCTACTACAACAATGTATTGATGGTAAAATATTTAAATTAAATTACAGTATGTATAAAAATGCCAAATCTTATGTACGTTTAGGTTGTAAAACCTCGAGTTTCTTTTTAAGCAATGTTGGCGTTCGCCAAGGAGAAAATTTGTGACCTGTACTATTTTCTTTGTTTTTAAGTGATCTAGGTGAATTTAAGTCACATTCTGATGAGGGTTTGTCAAATGTTGACAATGCTGCTCATATTTTCTTTAATTCTAGAAGAGTCTGACTCTGAATTACCAAGCTGCCTTGAATGCTTTTTATTGCAAATGTGACTAAGACTAACATTATAATTTTTAGAAAACTTACTTTTAAACTG